AAACTCCTCAAGCGAAACAATTTTTCTGCTAGTGGCTGGCTCGTTACATGAAATGCTCGTAGATGGGGCTGCTCGTCGCCCAAAGCTCTACACCCAAAGCGTTTATATTCGAACCCGTAAATAACACACGACATAGAAGATGAAACAATTGCTTCATCCCTTTTCCTCCCATAGGAACAACTAGTTATCCGGTATGGACTTTCGATCTCGGAAACATCGGTTTAAGTTGCTTTTCCAATTATCAGAGGTAGCGCGAAAGGCTGTAATACAGCGGACACAGAAAAGAGAAAAAAGAATACTTGAGAGTCATTTTCAATCTTACGAAAGTCAAAATTTCAAGCACAAAGTTATAGTGGACATGTGCTGAGCGTACTTATAAAAGGTTGAAAATGAAAGTCACAGCAAGCTGGAGGCCTTAGCAATGAATTTTACACAATCCGTCAAGTGGAATCCAACGCGCAAACAATGAACCCTATCTGTTTTATCTGATCGACCAATTATTCATATATGCATTTGGTTAATTTGTAACCGTTCTATGATTCGCGTCGGGTCAAAAGTAATGCACGTCAAAGAAGCTGATGTCAGAAAAGTTCATTTCGCACCATGCGCGTTATCTACATACAGGGATTGAAGCCAGCAGAAAGGCAAAACGTTACTGAAGACTAGACAAAAAGAGGGGAATGAGAAATTGCAGACAGAATATTTAGAGGTTGCAGAAAAAAAAACAGGGAGTAAGATGAACTATCAAATGCCTCAAACCTAAAATATTTGAGAAATTCGATAAATATCCCGACTAAAACGACTACAGCAAGGACACAAGAGATCACCTTCCCAATTGCTTTGACGGCTGTTCGCAAACAGCCAATGGCAATGATAACGACATTCAGAGCGAATGGCAGTAGATAGGCCCTATCTTCCAGGCTAATAAGCGGGTTATCACAGACAGTACGACAGAGATGTTTTCGAAGGAGATTACTTCCAGATCAGGAACGGGAGACATACTAGGACTGAAGGACTGAAAGGTAGTACTCACTTTCGGGCCAAAGGTATACGCGAATGCCAATCATTAAAAGTCCCGCTGATGTAGATTTCGTTGCCTCCACCATTCCAGCGAAAAACTGTGGGAAGAAGCTTCTGAGAGGGATTAGTGGTAGTGGGGGTCATTTCAACATCAGAGCAGACAGCCGAGGAGTTGACAATAATTGGCCGTCGTTCGCGAGCGCTTGTTATACTGTCTACGTAGGAAGGTAGGTCAGAAGCAGACACTGATTGACCAGCTCCACTGACAGACTCAACGGCCAGGCTAGTCGGTCTAAGTGGACTGGTTAAAGTGGGGTCAGGAGGTGCTGTTTTCGCCGGTTGTTGGTCACCCATGTACCCCTCCTGAAGGCTTGTCCCATGCAGAAGCCATGCCATATTATCCACAGCTAACTGTCCATCTT